TTGAAGTCCACCCATCTTCAAGCTCCTTAGCATTCTGGCTGGGGAATTCTGGGAGTTGAAGTCCACCCATCTTCAAGCTCCTTAGCATTCTGGCTGGGGAATTCTGGGAGTTGAAGTCCACCCATCTTCAAGCTCCTTAGCATTCTGGCTGGGGAATTCTGGGAGTTGAAGTCCACCCATCTTCAAGCTCATTAGCATTCTGGCTGGGGAATTCTGGGAGTTGAAGTCCACCCATCTTCAAGCTCCTTAGCATTCTGGCTGGGGAATTCTGGGAGTTGAAGTCCACCCATCTTCAAGCTCCTTAGCATTCTGGCTGGGGAATTCTGGGAGTTCAAGTCCACCCATCTTCAAGCAGCCCAGATTGAGGAATATTGATGCACCCCTGGTTTGAGCCAGCTCCCCTAAGCCAGAGACAACTTTGACTTTATCAGCAAGTTGTGTATTACAAGCCATGTTGTGTAGCTTCACATGAAGCCATGCTTGGTTTGTAACTTCACACATGGTGAGTCCATCTCACTGTAGTTTCCAAGCCATGGCTGAACGTGTTGTGGTTTGCATTCTGTGCCAACTCCAACCTTAGATGGTGGCTTATTTCTAAGCTACGTCTTATAATTGGGTTTCTAGCTGGCCCGCAAATTCAACTACAGTTCCCAGAATTCTTAGCGGAGTATGTCAAATCGGGGATCCCCGCTGATTGGTGGAAAGTTCTGGGCGGAGCATCGAAGCTGCCAATGGTGGCAGTGGAAAGAGCTGATGGAAACACTGCCACCTTCTGGTCCAAAAAAAAAAGACTTCTTTCTCGTCACTTTGCCCAGCCCCAAAATGCAAATTCCTTTGATGCACTTCAGCTTCGGTCCCCATTTACTGACCGTAATTGGGACCAGGAACTTGGTCATTGAGCAAAGCAATTGGTAGGTGCAATATGACTACATTTTACGATCTGACTTCAGCCTTGCTTCACTTGACAGACCCTGAAAGGTTCTCAAAGCAAAGATTGGTGGCAAAGTTATTTTTCCATCACCGTTGCGGCTGTGGGCGGTCACTAAACGAGGCAGTCACTAAACGAGGACCGGCTATGTGAAAGGAGGAGGAGAAGCGAAATCTGTTACAGAATCCAGTGTAGTTTAGCCAAGGCTTTGAGTACTATGAGAAAAGTAGAAGTCCTTGACTTACAACACTTCCATTTAGTGGCTGTTCAAAGTTACAACAGTACTGAGAAAAGTGACTTGCGACTGTTTTTCAGTTACAATCTTTGTCGCATCCCCACGATCCCCACAATCCAGACAGACACTTGGCAGCTGATTCATAGTTATGACCGTGGCTGTGCCCCGGGATCACGTGAATCCCCTTTTGCAACCTCCTGACAAGCCAAGTCAACGGGGAGGCCACATTCGCTTAACCCCTGGGTTACCAGCTTATCAACTGGCAGCGATTCACTTAACGACGGGGTCAAGAAAGGCCGTCACACGGGGCAACGCTCCCTTAACAAATCCCTTAACGGCAGAACGTTTGGGGCCACTTTTAAGTCCTACGTTGTCGAGGAGTTAAACCTGTACGGGCAAATAATTTGGGCTTCTCCCCTTTTTAATTTCTGTTTTTTGGAGTGGGGCGGGGGGGGGGGGGAATTTTATAAAACTCCCAGTGAATCCAGAGGAGGAAGTCCGGAGGCTTCAGTGAGGCCTGCGCCCGTGCGCGAGGGGGGCGGGGGGGGGGGGAGTGACCCAGAAGGATGCCTCAATAGAGAAAGGAAGTGTTTTGCACCCACAATAAAAGGAGGACGTGAACAAACAAGCTCAGATCGGAGTGAAAACTAGGTTAAACTTTGGGGTGAAAAACACAGTTCGGCTTGCCCAGACAAGAGTCCGGAATGTTTTCGCTCCAATCTGGCCCGGAGGCTGGTGCCTTGTATATTCCTGAGCCTCTGGGATGGCGCTGTGTGTGTGTGTGTGTGTGTTTGTGTGTGCGCGCCATTAGCAAGCCCCAGGGTCCTCCCTCCTTTCTCACGGCCAAGGAAGGGGGCTGCTCCAAGCCCCCAACGGGGGGTCTATCGCTGTTCCATTCGTTTCCCCCTTTTCCTTTCAGGAAGGTGCAGACGGAATTTCTCTCTGGCCTTCTCCTCCTCCTCCTCCTAGTCCAGAAATCTCACTCCAGCATCATCTGCCTCGGAGATGCATCTCTGGTGGAACTGGTTTCCCCAGCCGGGATTTCTTTTCACAAGGACATGCCAACCTCTCCCCCCCCCCACCGCACCAATTTTCGCTTGGGAAAAAAAAAATACCCTCCCACGCCATGGGGCACTTCTCCTCCGATCGGAGGAGCCGAGAGAGAGAGAGAGAGAGAGAGAGAGAGAGAGAGAGAGAGACAGAGACA